ATCATTCGTACCAACAGTTACTTAGGCTCTTTTTTAATTTGCACTTTACCGAATAAGAAAAAGTTATTCTGCTCCCACAGTTCGTGTGCAATCTCGTTTCGGCGATTTCAGATCGGAAGTATAAGATAAATACGCAAATTAAAACAAGCAAACGAGAATCAACGAAAGGTTGTCTTGAACTCGCCATACTCATCTGTAATTTTTGGCTTCTCATAATAATTAGTCTCTGGTGTCAGCGTTTACGAAAGTGCTAATTAAGAACATTTGGCACGAGAAGGCCTAAATGGCGTTTTGAAAATGAAAACTAAGGAAAGAATTTTATGCGTTTATACTTTAAAATGCTGTTTAGGTTTGCACAGAAGGGGTAACAAATTATGTGGTCACAAACGTAAACGTGCAAGTGTAGCCGGCAAATGTATCTATATTTACTTTAAACCTCACACTAAATCTCTATGGTATAAGCAGCTTACCAAGCGTGGATTGTCCCTGGCCAATTAATGGATATGTTGTAAAGGTATCTTTTTCGTCAAGTCCTGGATAACTGCGGTTGTGTGGGCAATGATACGAAGAGCCTGAACTGCATCTGCAACTCATGTATGAAGATATTTTCTGGGGCCTACAAAATAACCATTTGCTTTTAACCGGTCAAAGTTATAGCAAAATATTCTTAGATTATCGATAATTGATGATTTGGAAGATAAGTTTAGCGAAAACATTATATTTGAAATGCAACATTATTTTCTCTCACCTTTCAACTGACACAAATCTTGACGAATCTCGGAACCCTTTTGCAAATGGATTGCTGTTGATCTTCAGTTTGGTAATCTTAAGAACAAGAACACAGAATGCATTTACAAATTGGCAAAGCAAGAGACGTTAGTGAAAATGTAACTTTATTTTAAACAGTAAATGTCAGAAATTCTAAGCACAGAAATTCTAAGCAAGAAAAGTTTGTGAAAGAGACAATATTAATACTAGCGCAACTGAAAAGAGCATTTATGCAATTTGAATTTTGCAGTGTGCCCTGGCAATAATTATACACCTATGCATTATCATTTTATGATATATTCGTATTATTTGTTTCTGGGTCGTATTCAAAGACGATTGCAAACGTCTTCTACGGTCTGCAAAGTTCTCTGATGTTTGTATAAAAAGAACAGAAAGTTACAGAAAATTGAACCACGGGTGAATATAAGCTGCAAAAAATTAGGCCGGATTTAGTAAAGCATTTTTTTTCATCAGTCGCTTGAACAAGAATTAGGCTATACAGAACTCTTATGGACAAGGAAGAGAAAAATCAAATCTTAAGAATTACCAAGAAAGAAAAAATGCTAGACAGACAATTCTGTTGATCGACCAAAAAGAAAATTTAAATCCATAACCATAAAGCTTCAAGGTCAGCTTTAAAAAATACTAAAATCAAAGGTCGATATTCGTATGCCTTAACGTCTAGGCCACAGAGGCTGAACAATCAGGAGGTGGTGTGGGTAAGGAACAGAAACATGATGTTTAATTTAAATAAACTTGAGTATGGAATACAACCTATGCATCGGAAAACCATTCCCTCTTCTGGATATTTGTTAATTAGGCAGCATTTTTATATACTAGGGAGAAAATCAACCGGCGACGCGTTAGGCCCGTTTCTTACTTTTGCGCCTTTCTTACTTTGTGTAATATGGAAAGTGATTATTTTTTTATTTTTAGAAAGCTACAAGACAGTTTAATCTGGCTAGGCTATAAACTAAACAATTCAAATACCCGCATTCATGCTAAATTGTTGCGAGGTCCGCCATAGCTAATTTTCTCGTCTGTGTCTGACAGTGCTCCATTGCATTGACTTCATTTGTCGTGTTTAGCAAAATAGGTTCCGACAATGTATGCCAAAGTGCCTAGACTGTGACTCCTGACGAACAAGTTTAAGGTCTTTTTTATTTAATTTTAGACTCTGGATACTTACCAACTGGTTTTGATAAGCTGTCACTGCGATGAAGACCGTCTCTGGAAATGAAAAGGTTCTCTTGTACTTTGGCGATAGGGTAAGTTTGTCACATGTTCCGTCCCAGTCCTCTGGCTTTCGTATTATGAGTACGCGAGGTTGATACTTGTGCATGGAATTCAGGATTATCTAAAGGATAGATTGCAAAGAAAAAGGTGACCATAAAATTAAATAAATCACACCATTTTTTGCTGGCAGTTGATTTAGTTGAAAGTGAGAGATATCATGTCGCTCGCAAATATGAAATGGCTCATTATTCTATAATCAGTTGATAGAAGTTTGATTTTCTTCCCTTTGTGTCTCTGGGTTCTTCTGCTTAACTTTTTTAGCTTATGCGAAGTTTATATACTTTGAGAAGTAACGGACGAAAAGCACAATTGGTCCCGTTAAATTGAACCTCCAATGGGGAGGAGAAGGAAATGGTCTTATTCAGCGATTGTCCGACTTATCAGGGGTACGAATTTTGACTGAAGAAGGCAGAAGAATCCAATGAAAAATCAATCTGACCCAGTGAAATCCGACCCGGGGTATGATTTACAACATAATATGGGATTCAACTGTACTTCAGTGTTACATGTTTCCGTTTTTCCGTCTTATTTTCAAAATTTGATGAATTACTATGCCAATTGTAAATCATTTTTTCCAACTCATTTTCATTCTCTCTCGTTTATATTCATTTTGGTATTTATTGGTCTCTTGTTGAGCATTATAACCCTGGCTAATTCAAATCCTGGTTTCAACACAATCTCAGTAAATTTTCACCATAACCATTGGCCTTGGCTTGAAGATCTTAAGTGCCCGAATAGCTAGCAATACACCCCCAAAAACACCACCGGCAATGGAACACCACTATGTTTTTGCAAGAGCATGGTCATGTCAGAGAGGGTTGTTTGTTAACTGGTCTGAGAATTGGTCATGTCCTGGCTCCATTTATAAACCAGTCCTAATAAATAATGATATTCGATTGGCTGTGCATCTTGTTTCGTTAAAAAATTATTATGGGGGGGGGGGGGCTGGTTGTGCGAAAGTTTAAGGGATTCAAACTCAGATTGACGATGAAGTGGTCAACCTTGAACAAAGCTTTACTAAAGAGCCAACACATGAGCCAGAAATTCTCATTATGCATTAAGATAACCCTGAAAACCCCAGTTGATTCTTGTAACCCTTGCTTTTCCAAGAAAGCAGATGCTTTGCTATAGAGAGTTGCAACTAACAGTTTTACGTCTACTCTGGATAAAAGATACGATAAAATTGGCTAGGCGACAGAATAGTTATGACGAAACAAAATGACTTTCTTACGTGTGAACTGTGGTCCATTTCGTTGTTTGTTAGCTTGACTTTTTCGAACGAGATTACTTGGTTTAGTAGTTGTTCACCACTGAACGGACAGTCTGGGTGCAGATACAGCCGTTTTACTGGCTGGGGATCCGCCTTTCCTGCCACTAGCCAGTTGGACCTGTGATAAGCGTATCTGTAGCGCATATCATCAACAGGCTCTACGTCCAAGGCCACCAGGTACTGTTTCTGCAGATCAAGGCCAGACACTCGCACTCTAACGACTGGGAACATTCGCCTGTTGAAATATCATGGCATTCTTTATTAAGATTGTAGACCCAAGACTTGTTTTAGGGGCATCCTAGTATGTATGCTCAAAGAGAGAAGGGGTGGGTTCTAAAATACCCTCAGGTAATCTACAGGGAGAAAAGGAGGGACGAGGGCATAATGAGTACCTTAAACAATCTTTCATAGCAAGCTCACATTAGATCTTAAGAGACTATTGCTAACACAGTTTCTTTGTGCGCCTTCACCCGATCTCTAACGAACAATTAATGATTGCAGCAAATATTTACAAACCACTTTTTCACAGAAAATTTGGCAATATGGAACGGGCAGTGAAAAAAAAGATGACTGAGTTGAAATATTGGTAGCAGAAAATTAGAATCGATTTCAGAATCAATGATTAATTTTTTAGTTCCTTCCTTGAAATGAAGCCATTTTAATTCATGCTTAACTGTCATTTAAGCCGTTGGCTGCTCATTCCAAGAAAGTAGTTTGAGGAGCGCAAGAACTTTGTTTGTCAGTCATTTCCAGACTCAAACTCAAGCTCGTTTAATTCTAAAACACATGTTAAGCACACAGCGTTAAGGAATATGGCGAGCTCTAAGATATTAAAAGTAAATGCTGTACAGTCATTTCAAATTAAGAAACAAGAGAAAGTTAATATACGAGGGGATGAATCAAGGTGGTTTTCGAGCCCTTTGCCCTATTAATTCATGGTCTGTTAAATAAAGTTATTTCTAAACACTCTAAATTTGATTTTTTTTGTATTGAAATGTAAAAAAGGAAAAAATGTATGACAAAAGTAGGAAGAAAAGATCAAAAAAAGAAAAATAGATGGAGGTCACGGCAGTTGTGAGAAGAAAGATCGAGTCCAATGTCGGAGGCAATTTACTGTGCTTAGATATTATGGAGATAATTCCCTGTAGACAGCCTCTAGTACATTTATGCAAAATGCAACGCGTCTTCAAATGTTATGACGTAAAGGCGGCAGCGTTTTAAAACATCAAGTTAAACTGTGAGAGGAACAGAGTTTTGAATTAATTCTAACATAGTTTGATGTATTCTGCGTGCCCTTGTGTATTCTGCGTTTGCTTCATACCTAACTTTAGGAAAGTAATAGTTTTTTTATTGTGAAGATCCGTAAGGTAATACCCTAAACCATATAATGATTAAATATATTATAGATACACCTCAGTGTCAGGTCACATTGGTAGAACAGCTTGGCTTAGGGGTTTCTCTGAGCCCTTTTCACATGACACTTATCAACCCAAGTTCAACCCAGCAAAAGTTTCGTAGTGTAAAGTGATCCGCCTGGGATGAACCTAGGTCGGATTTTTCTCGAATAATTGTTCCCGTATTTCCTTTAGTTGTCTGAGGAACGTAAAGCGGTCACCAGAGGAAGAAATTCAGTGATAAAATGAATTCTGTGTTTCGATTTATGGGAAATATCTTAAAGAAGGTTGAATATTTTTTCATTCTAACTACGTTTATCTTATTTTGGTTGTTAAAATCTCAAAATTGCCTGTTGCAACCCCACTGGCTCCTCCGTGGTCCCTTTCATGATAAGGTTTGTCCCATGTTGATGCTAGCAAACACAATTGTGAGATCAGACTCAGTCTTTTCTCGCAGCATACTTGTTGCTTGCACGCCATTACAATATCGATAGCAGAAAGTTTCCACTTACAAATAAAGGGATGTAAAGATACTCTTGCACTTATCCTAGGAACATTGACAAACGTAGAAACTAAAACATTAAATTACTTTCACTATAGCTGCCTGTTGTAGAAAATAAGCTGAAAACTGTTGCACACTCTTTCTGTAATATTTAAAAACGTTGTACTGATGTTTTGGCTGGTATTTCATAAAAAATCATTCGTTAGAGGGAGCTACTGGTAGCCTTTTTTGAGATGAGAACCTACAAGGTTAACAGTACAAAAAAGAATTTGCTGTGCCTTCTAGAGAAGCCAACAGACTACCATGATAGTGTCTCTCCTTTGGGTATTATTCAAATGAAACATCTTAGCAAACATACCTTCCAGCTTTGGTTATAATCATTTCGGTTCCAAGCTCGTGGAATTTGAGCCATAGGTCTTTGCATTCTAACGTCAAGCTTATCTTGTCCATATCCCGTTCCTCTGGCTCACAGTCGTCCGCAAAATCTCCATCATCATCATCATCATCTTCGATATCCTCAGCATTTTCCTCACCTTCGTCACCATTAGTTACTTCATCAACCAACGGTTCCTCCTCCTTGGTGGCAAACAGTCTGACTTTTGGCAAGGGTGGCTCATACTGGCAGTCTTCATTGCTGTTGCTTTCGTTACTGCTATCGTCTTCATCGCTCTGAGCTAAAAAACAGGTCTCATCACGTTGTTATATGTTATAACAGTACCTTAATGTAGATTATGTTGATTATCATGATTTTGGTTATCTTGCGAAAAAAAATTCAGATTTCGTCATCATGATCCAGCCTATTTCTTGAACATTTCACAACATTTCGATCAAAATTATGTTGCTTATGCTTATTCTTCATTGTTTAGGGATGAATAGGCATAAAGCCAGAGCAGTAATGTGTCATTGCAGAAGTAGGTTGATACAATGATTCACACTCCAGCCAAGGTACATTTTTTTATAAGAACAATTTTGTACGAGCACAAGCCTCAAAATTTGACAAATATTAAAGAAAAGAAATTACATACTGAGGCTAAGGTTGTGCAAACGAAAGAAACAACATGCTTGGGTTCCAAGCAAAAAGAAGAGGGGACCATTGATGACCTCTTTTTATAAGAACAATTTTATAAGAAAACGAGCCTCAAAATTGGTCAAAAGTTAAGAACAAATTAAGAACAAGCATGAAATTTTGAACAACGTTTTATCTCAAAAACGAGGATTTTAGCCATATGTGAGTGCTTTTTCGTTGAATATTCAAACATGGCGGCAAATGAAGGTTGTCTCGCGCACTTTGTTGGCAAAAGAGGCCTGAACACCTCCCCAGAACGAAAAGCTAGAAATCGAAATCCCACTGCTTAACCCTATAAATTTAAGAGAAAATTAAGAACAATCCAGCCTCAGATTTTCGAAAACAATTTAGAACAATCAGCCTGAACTCAAATTTACTGGTTCTTATAAAAAAAGTGTGATTGATAATGTGCTGGTAATTGTCAAATAGCCGTAAAATTTTTTTTGAATTTTTATGGTCTATCCGACAGTATCAAGCTGCACCAAAATTCTATCGTTTGCAATCAAATTTGAAAATCTTGCTATAACTTTTGGAGCCCCTTTCAGCTCGGGACCTGGGACAATGTGCCCCCTTTCATCTCAAATCATTGGAAAATCCTGCTATGTTTAGAAAGTGTCAATCCAAAGTAAAGAAAAACAAGGGTCTAATTGACAGGACGCCAGCGTCGATTAAGTCTCCGCCTACATTGACAGTGCAAATGCTGCCAGCTGAGGTAACTGTCTTGCATTTCCCAAGGAACTTTGGCATCATGTGACAACCAACAGGATAAAGGCTCTGGCGGGATACCTGGCTGTTTTTTGCTACGTTGATTGACCGACAGGCAGTCTTAATTTCATTATTTGACTTTCTATTCTTATCTGACCCAGCAAAATGCAATCCAGATTCAACAAAAGTGTGAAAGATTCCTGTAAAAAGTAATCCCTGGTCTCTATTCATACATTTCCTATTCAGGTCATCATTTGGAAGCGCCCATGAGATATCTACACTACGTTTCCTCATATCTCCTGGCTAGATGCAATTCCGTGGTGTATTTATTTTATGTTAAGGTTATCTCATCGAAAATCTCGAACCTGCCTCATCGGGGTGCGTTTCTCAAGTTTTCTGGGAAACCTTACACGTGAAATATTTGTTCAGTGTTGAATGTGAATCTTTATTGTGAAAATGCCACTTAATCAACAACTTGAGGTTGATGGCGTCATTAACATACAAGCGAGTGGTGTTCGTATGCACACTTTACCCCTATGTTGAAAAGTGCTGATAAGATCAATATTGTCAATTAAAAGAAAGGATTGAGTCACAGAAGAAAAAATTATTCTGTGGTCGAGTTTTGATACCAACAAAAACATCTGAAATAGAAACGTTTCTTATTATTCTGCACCAGTAATGGTAATTACTTAACTTTTGAATTTTTTTCGTGAATTGAACAAAGATAGCTACAGTAACAATGGAGAAGTGTTTTACACAAGAAACTAAAATCAGGGTAGTTTTGCTTGCAAGAAATCTTTGTATCTGGGAAAGATGATGAAAAAATCTCTCAATACTGTATCTTTAAAAGAGAAAGGACACCTGTATTTTGCATCTTTTAGAATACTTAATATTTCAGCTCTGCCTTATTTAAACTGTTGGTTTGTGTGTTAGGTATGCTACACATGGACTATATGCTAATATATCATTGGTTTCACACTTAATGCAGGGCTTCTGATGAAAGGGGAATTCACGGCCATGCCCCCCCCACTCCCACCCCAATTTTTAGATATAGGGGCCATATAGATGTATGAATTGTAGACATTATGGTCTCAAGCTTTCGTTCTAAGTAAATGAAAAGGCCCCCACCTTTTTCCAAGAACCTTTCTAGGCACCGCAACTGCTACATATAAAAAATGTTTGCCATGATGTTTCGTTTACCACTACTTCAAATGTTAATGGGAACTTTTTAGATTTATTAGCCTTTTACAAGAAATACCTTTATAAGAAACATTAGGCTGAGATTTGTCTTGAAATAAGAACAACTTGAGAAGCAAGGCAGGCTAAGATTTGTCAAAACTAAAGAAATACAATACCAGCAAAAATTGAAAAACAAGAGAATAGCAAAAGAACAACACCAGAAAGAGATAAGCAAAAAGCATTGAAATACCAATGAAACAAACATATTATAATAGAATCAGTCCAACACCATCGATATCAGTTTTTTAATGTCCAGACACTACTATGCACAGAAAATTCGATTCAAAATATAAGAAACAAAACAAGAAACACGTGAGGCTGAAATTATGCGAAAAAATATGAAACGCCAGGCTGAAGCTGGAGCCGAGTGTTCTTACAAAAAGCGTTTATACAAAAAAATTTTTCAAAGACCGCTTATTGCATTTAAATGGAATCCAAGCATTTATTTTACGTAATTAGAACAATAAATAAAAACTGTGCTGCAAGTACCTTTTTCCGACTACGGGTTTGGGCTTATTTTCAATAAGGAAAGCAGGAATTTATAGTTTCTTAAACAGGTATTTTAGAAATAGAAAGTCTTGGAGATGTAAGACTTGACTGCTTTGGACGAGTGAGTCATGCGGAAATTACACATAAGAAACTAATCTCTATGTTTATGGCATCATTCTACTTCTAGTCTCATTGACGTGGTATCCTATTCGGGGAGCCTGAAAACCTACCAACGTCAAACGGGTCAATTTCAAAATAAATCTCTTGGCATAGAAATATGGCACGTAAGGTGGAACACTTAGAGTTGACATTTGCAAATGAACTGTACCAGCGTCACGTTTTAAATACACCTTTTTTATAAAAACATTTTACAATGAACTCAATAATGCGGCAACCTATAACCTAGAAGTTTTATAAATAATAATACACCTAGTATTTGAGTGAATAAAGCTATGTTATTAAAAACAGACAAATATGTTCATTGCGATGCTTCTTCGCTTCATAGTGATACTAATATAAATATAAATGAGCATAGATAATAATGTAAGTAGTTCATATCTCTGTGCAAAAGATATATTGTTAAGAGAATCGATATATCAACGCGTTTTGTTTCAATGTTTTTCTGTTTTCCCAATAAATTAAGAACCTTTTAAGAAGCGTTGACTCACTCAATACCATGAAAAGTTAAAAACTTTAAGTACTGATGCTTTTTATATAAAGGTAAATAGCGTAAATTCCCGGATCGCCATGACTAACTGCGTCATGTTATTCATTGGCCAACATCAAATACCGTTGATATTAGCACATTGCTGTGAGCTGATATCCAAGGATGCTAAGAACAAATAGAATCAGCACACCTTCTAGCTACAAGCAACTAATTTATGGTGTCGACAAATTCACACCTAGGCTAAACCAAACTGAGAGATGACCAGTATTTGCTCGTGTCATGCGATTTTACGTGTTTGCAAAAACATTTCTAGGAATTATTGCTAACTGTGTAAACGGAATATTTGCATGATGTGTTAAAATGACATTCAGTTTTTGTTGTCATGTTTTGATACTTACTTGGAGTTGAGAAAAGCATGGTTTATTTTTCGTTTTCAAACTTTGAAAAAATTAGTCAATATTATATTCATACATCCTAGAATCCAAATGATTCTTTAAAATCATGCAATGTTGCACTGAAGTGTAGAATATCAATCTTCTCACGACTTTTCTATAAGGAGCATATTTTGTATAAGCAGTTGCAGATTAAACCCAATACGCTCTTTTTTTATAAGAACCAGTAAATTTAAGTTCAGGCTGACTGTTCTTAATTTTATCGAAAATCTGAGGCTGGATTGTTTTTTAATATGTTCTTAATCTAATAGGGTGTAAGCAGTGCGAGTGCTAGCTTTTTCGCTCTAGGGTGGTGTACTGGCCTCATTTTCCAACAAAGTGAGTGAGACAGCCTTAATTTGCTGACAGATTTGAATATTCATCGAAAAAGCACCCACACATTGCTAAAAATCCTCGATTTTGAGAGAAAACATTGTTGAAAATTGCAGTTTGCAGAAGCTCAGCCTCAGCTTGTTCTCAATTTGTTTTTAACTTTTGACCAATGTTGAGGCCCTTGTTCTTATGAAATTGTTCTTACAAAAAAAGAGTGTATGTCGCACGTTTTACAAGAATGTGTTTTTGCAAAATTAATGAAAAAGAGATAGGCAGAGATCGGGTTAAGACTCAATAGACAAAAAATGTGCGCATACCTGCTTGGCATATGTGGGAAAATGGAGTCTCGGTCCTCTAAACCCTATAGCTACTATATTTGTCAAAAACCCGCTTCACTCTCTTTTATGCAGTTGAATATTACAATAACAAACTTGTACGCATGTTTTTATTTTTTTAAATTATTTCAGATATGAACCTACTCATTGAGTGTCCCTCGTGTAAATAGAAGTCAATATATCACCAAAACAGCTCTTAAATTTATATCACCAAATTTGAACCTCAATATTTAGATAAGTTATATTCTTGTAAAATAGTCCCTATTATGATGGTGAAGAAAGACACAAGCAAATTAACTTTCTTTCTAAAATTCTTCCCAAATTTGCACGTTTTCTTTAGAAAGGGTATTTTAGCATCGAATCTTTAGAAAGGGTATTTTTAAATATTTCATCAAAGCTTTGTTTCAGCAATACTTGGATGTTTTCAGCCTCTAATGCTATCCTTACTCAAACCATTCCAACATGCATTGACAAAACCTAGTTCCTAAACACGACAAGTTCACACTAAGACTGCCATGAACATATTTCCGTTAAGTTATTATTAGATCAAGTACAAACGCGTAGATATCTAACGAAACTTGGTTGTAGGAAGTTAACGTTTTTGCCAGCACTAATCAAGGTCGAGATCAAGATGACTTTCTTGCGGTAGAAATAGTCAGCTGATACACCAGGCTGGCAAACGTGCTTACTCGCAAATATAAAGATTGCACCTCAGATCGTGCTTTTAGACAGAGGCCAAAATACTCTGCTTGCAGTATATTTTAATCCTAATAGAACCTTGCACCTTTCAAGCTCAAACTGCTTGCAGTTTTATGTATTACATTAACGAGAAGCTAAAATCATACAAGTTTCCCAACCTGACTTTTTACTCATAAGTAGCTTTTTGGCAAATTCTCGTTAAATATTTTGAAGCAGCTTCAAATTTTTAATGAATTTTTGATACTCTGAAGATTTTTTCAATTTCTCGGCTTTCTGCTCCTATTCATGTTTCATCGAACCTGGAGAAACATAACTGAATTAACAGAACTCAGTTGCCAAATACCCCCACGCCGTTGTAGAAAAGCAATCATTTTCTATGCCTTGTGCTTGCATCCAAAGAAATTTGAATTCTAGCTATAAATTTAGTTACTGGCTTGAACAAGCTTGTTCTGTTGCTAGATAAATTGCAATTTTTTTGCCAAACAGTTTAAGATACACAAGTAGGAACCCATAATTCCAAAATTCTTGCTAGAATCCCTGTCATTCGTGACATGCACAGACACACTTCCACTGTAGGTTACTACCTTCCTTTGATTTTTCAAAGATCTAGCCTTATTTTTCAAGAAGCCTAGAATGTAAGTATTTATGAAAAAGATTCTTTACTTATAGAGTTTCATGTGTCTCAATACTTGCAATCTGGCAAAAGGAATATAGCGCCGCTAAGTCGCTTCTGTTCACCCATTGCATTCAAAAATCCAATAGACAAATCTTTTTACAATGGTTTTATCAAGAAGGTTTACTGGCTTTAGAAGAATTCATGCAAGTGCCAGTAGAAGGCAGTCTACAAAAGGCAGATATAGCTGTAGGGAGACGTTTAAAAAATAGCAAATAGAAGATACAACCAAGGCACCTACTTTTAGTTTCAAAAATTACCTTTGTTAAATTTTGAATGTGTATTTTCAGAACCTTTTGAGAGGCATTTGAATCCAGAATGGCTATTTCATCCGAGGGGCAAATCACTCTATGAAATCTCGTAAACTTTTGATGAAAGTCATATTGTTTTATCAGAAAATCCCTTTGGATTCATTTGTTTTTGCGGAAAACTCGTACTCTCATTGTGCGAATTGCCCCTCAATTTCCTCACATCCAAAATCGTGCTGCATCCGCTATTGCTTGCAAACCATGCATAGGATTCTGCTGTTGTCGCAATGCTTGATCAAGCCGTCAGATAAAGATAAGGTTAAAAAGATACCTACTTCTGGTACCTTACTGCCGTATAGACAAAGATGTACTCTTCTGTGATAGTGCTCAAAATATCTAACACACAATTTTTCTGTGATAAAATAACTTACACAGTTAAGTTAGCCAACCAATAGTTCGTGATTTTTAGAACATACAGATTTTTTCAAGAATCGATGATTACCAGTGCCCAAAGAATCAGGCAAAATTATTCGTCGGCAAAACTCATGGACACTCTGGATATAATCTTGTGCGGTATGTTACTGTCATCTTCGCTGAGTTCTTATACGATGTTCATGGTCCGCTTTCATTTACCCTCTTTACATCCCAGACTATATAACAGTTTGTTGAGGGCTTAATACACGAGTGATAGGCTGCTAAAATTCATCACGAACTTTCAGAGCCACCAAACATACTGAAGAGCGCTATGCGTGATATCAACAAGTTTGATTATTTGGTTTATCACCTAACTTTTAAGCTGATGATCAAGGTAAGAACTCACCTCTCTTTCTTTTCAACGCTATCGCACTCTCCCCAGAACATGTTTTCAACTCCATCCTGTCTTCAACGGTCAGGTGTGGCAGTAATGATACGTCGGTACGATGCCACTGTCACAAGTCTGCAATTCTTCTTTCCTGTGTTACGTCACTGAAGTTGCACCCTTCAACTTGTTCGCTTGTCTCACACCCCCTTTTAGTGCTAAATCCTATGGTGAAAATGGCTAGAATCGAGTTCCTTTTATTAATGGCAGCCTCTAGCCTTGTGACCCGAACCCCAAAGCCGCTTAGACAAACCTGTCTCCGCCTCATCATGAAACAGTGGCTAAAAATGGACCGCAAAGCCCCGAGGCTCGGGGGGCTTCTTTGCTTCTTCACTATAAATCACTCAGAAATCATCTTTCAGACTGTCTAAACCTGTTTGAGGAGGAGATGGGAAACTTTAACAGACATTAATCTTTTGTCTGCTAACTTCAGACCTAGGAAATATGCAAACTTTTATAACTGAGAATCCATTTTAGAAAATTGCATTCAAGATTTTCACGAGAGACAGACCTAGTGATGCATAGTTTTTATTTTCTTTAATTTTTTTTATTATATTCCACTACACCAATTATTCGTTTTCAGGCTACACTAGCTTTTAAAAAAAACTCGCTAATAAGTATATTTGGTTATCGGATTTAGCTAAAAAACTTCATTATTCGAAGCGGCATTGTATTGCAAAAGACAAGAACACAGAAATTTTGTGACAATCTACCAATATGATTAGCTAGTTAAAGAAGGCTCCACGCTGATTTTAGTTTTATCATTGGAATGAAAATAGACACGAAGAATAAAAGATATTTTCCCATTTTAGAACGAAAGCGAACCCCTTGGCAGAAATGTCATGAGCATTTACAAGAAATGGCAACATCAACAATTGGCTTTTTTACAGCTTTGAAAGCCCTCCTTAACACGTTTTTGTAAGAAAATGAAATATAGCCCCGCTTGTTAAAAAAAACGACATGATTATAACATGATTTTTGTGATTGCTATTTCTGGGCAATTTTCCAGTTAAGCCTTTTCGTGACTTTTGGGTTACTTTGACTGTTCTCCCACATTTTTTAGCTTGAATCGACCTAAGCCTGGGAGGTGGGACATTGCTTTTCCATGAATGTCCCAGGCTTAGGTTGTCCACCTGGATAAAAATACTGCTTGAAGTTAGTTCCTTTAACCCTGGTTTACCTTTAGTTTGCTCATTCGAACATTTTCATTCGGTTTCCATTAACTCCAGAAACATTATCTCATAATGAAACTCTTATCGCCTCTCAAAATAAACTTCAAGGTCAAGTGGGTTTATAACCTTTTCTTAATAGTTTATAACACATTAAAACTCTTTCATGGTCAGCAGAATAATTTAGATTTGCATAATATTTTCAATGTGAAATTGCAGCCCTAAAAATTCTTCTAAACACTGTTTTCTTTTTTTGTAATAAGATTTTCTTCATAACTCAGTCAGGGCCTCTGACTCTGGAGTGGGTGCCATGGCCCCATCACTTCTTTGCAAAGCAATACCTAATTAATATGACCTTTTTGCGATATCTTTTGTTATGGGTTTTTAATTGCCCTTGGCCCCCTCCTATCCAACTTGCGTCGTAGCCCCTGAAAGTTCTAGAAGTATTAAGATTAGTTTTTACGTTGTAAGAAAGGGTAATCTTGACATGTGTTCAAAATGCAATGATACCAAGTGCTGTCAAAACGAAATTCATATGGGGGGGGGGGCTGTTGCCCATTGTATTTCCATCTCATTCAGTAGACTGTTATAAACAAAATATACTACATCTTGACAATAACTGGGAGGGCTTCAGCCCACCCAAACCCCCGGTTTTCGACGGCGCTGGTACAAATGTTTTCTCGGTTGCATTCTGCTAATGATTGATACACAAACCTTCCTATTACATGGCCCTTCTACTTTGAAGCTCCAGGTGCAACCCCAGTAACCGAATTTGAGCAAGAAGCAACAGATGCTCAAGAACGTCGGAACTTGGGATGCAGCGGTGCGCCTGCCCCCTCCAACTTTTGGAAAGCATCGTCTTTGAAAACGAACCTCCTTTTCTGAGGCATGCTGCCCCTTCCTACATGTACCCCTCAAACTTTGAAGTGCTTCCAACATCCCAGCAGATGCGTTACTCTTTTTAGCGACCCCCTCCCCCCTCCCCAAATTAATTTCCGTTCGATGACTCTGTTAACGACGATTACCAGTATTATTATGTATTGCATAGGTGAGATAGAAAAGGTACCTTTAACTAATACGAGAAGGTTTCTTTTTCTTAGATGATTATGATTTTCAATGTTGAGCTGGTTGTGGCTAGAAACGAAAACAGTCATATATTGATTGCAGGTGTTGAAGGCTTGTATGTAACAAAGCCAATATCTTACGCAGTTGGTAGCAAGTGGTTTTGCATGTTACTAATGATACATCAATTCTTTCGAGGCCGTGGTGTCATATCAAAGCAGATTAAGGGGTATTCGTAAACCCAAAAAAACCACCAATCTCCTTAGTAATTTGACTGCGGATGTTCTGTCTCCAGAATCACGACATCTCGTTGAAGTGTGAAAATACAAGGCTGTTTAAGTCACATTGTCGCCTATTAATAATTTGCGCATAACCTCAAGTTCGGAGACGATAGCCCTGCTGGATACTCAGTTTCTTTGGCAGACTTCGACACAATCCAGATGCATTCATTTATTTACACGCATGCACGTTCTTGTTGGTTATGACATCTTATGACTTTTGGCCCTTGTCCTCTGTACGGTGACCTATGTAACAGTGTTGTGTTTACTTCTGAAATTTTTTTTCCTGACGGATTCTGGAAAGTTGTTTATCGCCATTGGCGAAAAAAATATAGGAGCTGGTTTGGTTGCATTCGGGCCCCAATGGGATGGTTCCATCTCAATGAAACAATTATATTTAGGCACGATTCATAATAAGCCCCCTAAATGCTTTACTTTGTTACGTCTCTGTTTACGCGTTTACTATAGCAGGAAACAACAGGAAACAACAAGAAACTAATACAAACGAGGAGAAACGATAAGAAAACAACATGAAACGATTTGTCACTTAGCAAACGACTAATCCCCAAAACGAGGCAAGCTTATATATCCACGTGGGCGCGGTGATCTTCCTTGCAGTGGCCTACGTGTTCGGCCATGTTGTTCTTCAAAGCGATCGCTGTTGTCTCAGATCAAGTTATGGAAAACTCACTGATATTGTTTTCATACAAAAATCAACAGAAAATAAAATAACGTACTCTAATATTCGAGAAAAACAAGCTGTATGGGCTGAAAATCTATGGCTTGAACAATGTTTGAATATTTGGGGAGGGGCTTAATTCAAAGCTTTTTCATTTTCTTTTAGGTTGGTAATATTTAGGTCGTAATAAAGTTTTCCAACACAAATACCACATTAACTACTATCATCATAGCTATACACCAATTCGACCTACGGCCTCATTTTGAAAAATTCTTCAAATTCTTTTGTACAACATTTTTTACCTCAGATTCGGATTGACAGCAATGATTTTAGTCTACTTGTAAGTTTTTATTATGATCTTGCTCACGATATTGATTTTATGACGACATAAAGATAAAACTTTATAAGGGATTTGACCGTGATTGGCGACTAAGGGGGTAAAGTTTCCCCCGGAACGATTTTTGCGGTCAAATCCCTTACAAGTTTTCAAACTTCATTTCTCGGTTAAATCTAAAATACAAGCTCAAAAAATATGAAAAATGGTATCCCGCCTAAAATTATGACGATAAAACCAAATCTGAGCTTAAAAAGTCGTATAATTAAGTTTGGAGAAATTTCTAAAACGAGGTCGTAAGTCGAATTGGTGTATTAAGGCAGGATTTCCACTAAATAAATAAAATCACAGCCTCAGTTTGATTTTCTCCTCCCAATTTCTGTATATTTCATAGTCGTTTCTTCTTGTTTCTGCTTTTTGCCTAGTTGTTTCCTATTCGTTTCCTATTTGTTTCCTGCCTGTTTCTTCTTGTTTCACAGTTTTTTTACTCATTTCCTGTTATAGTAACCACGCCCTGTTTATCGCTAAATCGCAGTCACAATCTAAGCCTCGTATGCAAAAAAAGTCCTTTAGAAAATTTCTTGACAAGCTTTTGTTATGTCGAATTTTGGCCAAATTGGGAAAATATGGCAATTCGTTTCTTTTATAGTGAATGTCTTATCTTGAATTGCCTGGCCAATTGCCATAATATTTGACGTTAGAAGCAATTTACGTGATATATGTATTACATGAGCTCCGATCCGACGCAGGTTGAAAAGTGGGAGGGCCAAGGGAGATTCAAACAATAATAACAATATACTGTATCTATTGCTCTGTTGCTTTGCAAAAAGGTGGGGGAAGGGGGCCATGCCCCCCGACCTCCCCCTCCCTTCGTCGGAGGCCCTGCAATGCAGCAAATTGGTGTGCAGACTTTGCTAGGGAAAGCTAGAAAAAACCAAAAATAATATTTTCTTATGTCAATCACACAAGTCAATTTCAATATTTGTCGCTACTCTCAAGTTCGTAATTGTAGGGGGGGGGGGGGGGTAAACTCCATTTTTTAGAAATTTTACATACCCATTTCCATTTATTAACACCTCCTAGTTTATGGCAGTTTTATTTACAGTTTAATTCAGTAAAAATGGCTGTAGAACAAAAACTGCTAAAACAGTTGTTACACTCTTTTTTATAAGAACTAGTAAATTTGAGCTCAGGCTGACTGTTCTTAATTTTTTCGAAAATCTAAAGCAGGACTGTTCTTAATTCTTCCTTAAATTTTTAGGGTTTAAGCAGTGTGATTGCTAGCTTTTTCGCTCTAGGGAGGTGTTCAGGTCTTGTTCTCCAACAGAGTGAGTGAGACAACTTTCATTTGCCGACAATTTTGAATATTCACCAAAAAGCATCCACGTCCCACACATGGCCAAAACTCCTCGTTTTTGAGATAAAACGTTGTTCAAAATTGAATTTTAAAGTAGATCAGCCTCGGCTTGTCCTTAATTTGTTCTTAACTTTAGACCAATTTTGAGCCTCATGTTCTTATAAAATTGTTCTTATTTAAGATAGAGTTTATTAGAAAACTGTTAATGAAATTTCCACTTTACA